ATATATATATATATATATATATATATATATATATATATATATATATATATATAGTATATGTACTTAATCTGTTTTTTCCTTCTGTTTTGTTTAAATAAAGGTAAAGCATTATTATGGAAATATTACTTCCTATGTAAGAATAACCATCAATCTTATAGCTATATTAAAAGGCTGTTTATATATAACAAATATTGTAATTCAATTAATTTTAGAATTAAACCAATGCAACAGATGATAATTTGCAACAGAAAGTGCTATTTTTGAGAAAGTATTTTGGCTTACATTACAATTTGCAATGAAGAGCAGCAGAACTACACAAATGCTAAATGTATAAACATTCATCTGGTCATCCAACCCACATATTCAGAATACTATTTTACCATCTTAATACACACTGGCCAAGTTTGAAACCTGTTCCTAGCAGGAATAACCTATACCATTATTCCCTGAAAAACAAAAGAGGCCTGTGTCTTTTGCTGTTGATTATATTAAACACATTAATTCATGGGTGTCAAACTCGCCACATCATTTGATGTGTCGCGACATATCATGACTTTTTTCACATTGCCGGAGCTGGGGTGGGTGTGGCCTCCGTATGATGCAACCGGCCTGCGGGCTGGCAGTTTTGACACCCCCGCATTAATTCCATGTAGTATGGAAAAGAAAAGCAGATAGGAAGATCTCCTTTTCACTGCTTGAAATATGTTTCTTGAATCAGTCAAGCATGTGCAACTCCTCTTCACTGAACTAATGTCCTGTTTTGGGCAAGTATGACACAACTGTTGGATTTTTAATTTAGTAGTATTGCGTATACTTTGCATGAAAAAGGTCTCAGGTTCCATCCCTGTATCTCAGGGGTTATGAAGATCCTCACCTGAAATTCCTGTAGGTAGGCCTACCTTTCCCCAATATAGTGCTGTATTTCAAATGCATTACAACCCCAGACAGCACTGGCACTTGTGGTGATGTGGGAAACTGAAGGATACTCACTTAAATATTGCAACACCTAACTAATGGATCAATAGTCTGAATTAGTAGAGGGTAGTTTCTGATGGCTGGTTCTAATCATCTCCGGTTAGATATCTCATACTTAACTTAGCCTGAACAGAACCATCTTCTTATTTATAGTTTTGGATCTGCTATGGTTCCCCTGTCAAATGAAGGCAATGGCATGGAACTATTCCAGGATTTAGGCACAATTTTGAATGATCTTCTTTTATAAAGCTATCCTGTACAAACCATGAGGTTGCAAATGTGATAAAACATGTGATGTGACACCATGATGCAAAGTTCAATCTTTTATATTTTTGTTCCAGCATTGTCCTCCAGAACCATTGTCCTCCATTTGCCCTTCCTTGCTCTGGTTCTGCAGGTACCTGTAGTACATTACACTAATGAGAGGAGTATGTTGGCCCAGCCTAAGCTGATATGCTTGCAAGACCCCTTTCTAAAGCAGACAGTTGCTGACTTAGTTATTAATACTGTAATAGTGAAAGTACAAATACTGAGAGTATCCCTGAATAAATGTGATGAAATAGTCCCCTAGTCCAGCACTTCCTAACCTGGGTAAATTATTCAAAATTGGGTAAAAGTAGTTCTTCTTTGGATAATGAACTCATTAATGGTTTTGCAGAGTAAATGACTGAGCTTAGGTCAAGCAGCCAGTGCAAAATATTATTTGAAGAAAAGGAGAACCATCTGGAGTCTTTCTGGTTAACAATTCACAGTAAATATCCTGTGTTAGCCCGGGAGGCTAAGATGCAATTATTGCTGTTTCCAAGTACATATATGTATGAAGTAAGATTTTCCATTTAGGCTTTCATAAGTAGCATATAACAAAACTGTTTGCTGAATCCTGAAAATGGTTTTGAGTAATGAAGGAAAAAGTTTGAAAAGCATCACCCTTCTCTATCTGCTTTTTTTTCTTACAATTCTTACAATTATTTGAGTCTACTTTATCATTGAATGATCACACCATTTTTTAGTGGAAATAAGCAGAGTGTGTGTTAGTTACACCTAATAATTGCATGTGCAGTTGCTCACTGTACTATGGAAACTGACATGTGCTCAATGTAGTTCATTGGTGGTATAAAAAACGTAGAGATTACCTTCATACATTAGGCTAAGCTCAGTTAATATTGATCTTGTTTAGCGTTTTGTGACTTGGAGTGTTCAATCTTCCCAGCCAGTTTGGTTATATATATTGGTAGTTCAATGTATTAATCCAAAAATGAGTTCATTTGATCCTCAATTGAAGAATGTTGTGCAAACACAGCCAATGCATTGTGTGAACTCAGAAAATTGTGTTAATGACCTCAACCACGGGCCAATTAACCTTGGATTAGCATTTTGTGTAACACATAGCTGTAGGGTTCATTGATCTACATTTTTTTGATGTTACAGATGCAGATGGGATCCTACTTCTTAGGAGGCAGACAAATATTCTGCTTTCATTATTAGGACTATGACCACTCAGTCATGGGCAAAGTACTAACTTCTGATGCCACACAGCTATGGGATGTGACACAAAGTAAGAAAAAAGTGCCTTGCCATATTATGTCTGAAAAGGTGTGAAATTATGTATCTAATTGTGAAGCTCACAAAATGACTTCATGGGACTTTTTGGAAATCACAGGCAACCTGACCAGGGAGAGGGGCAAGAAGGGAGAAGAGGAAATTATGCAGTTTTCTCCAGCTTGCTGCCATGCAGAAATATTGTGACATGACCATATTTGCTGGAAATAAGGTGAGTCACGAACCAACCCATCCAGAGGGAATGGTGTTGTAATATCATTCTGAGCTTCTAAGAAAGAGGTGAGCGATTTTCTGCAGGCTGTGTGCAATCCTGAATAACGTTTCAGGTCAGGAAGCGATGCAATCCACGAAGCAAAAAAAAAAAAAAAAAAAAAAGAGGTGAGGCTGCGGGCAGGAGCAATATTTTTCTCAAAGACAACCCCCCGCCCAACCCTGGATTTTAGAGGCCTTTCTTTCCTCTTTGACCGTCTTAAGTCCATTGCAGAGTCTCTACTCTCAAGCAGGGTAGGTTAGCCTAGTTTTGAAAGGATCCACACGAAACGATGGATCCCACATAAGAGTGAATTTTCCCTTTCACCCTCAAGAAACCCTTCCGCAGCTTCCTTTACGCACCCGCAGGATGATTGGCAGAAGCGGCGGGGCTCCTCACCCGCGACAATAAAGGGACGTGAGGAAGAAGCAGCCGCTCTCTGCCCCGACGCGCCCTTTCTTCCTGAATTCAAGGGCGGCTCCGGGCGCGGAGGCCGGCAAAGAGGCAGGCAGTCACGTGCCAGCAGGCGGCGCTACGGCTGCTCTGGCTCCTCCGCGGCAGCTCCTGCTGCCGCCGCCGCCGCCGCCGCTACCGCCACCTCCGGCTCCTCAGTCCCAGTTAGGGCATCCACCGGCGTCGCCTCGCGCTGGGAGCGGCCGCCCGGGAGAAAGGATGCTCCGCCGGGCGCGGCGGCGGCGGCGGCGAAGGCGACGGGACTTCTCGGGGGCCGCGCGCCTTTTGTAGCCGAAGCCGCCGCCGCCTCCTCCATGGCGAGCGTGGCGGCGGAACCCCCCGCCAGGTTTGAGCGGCGCGGCCCGGCTCGGAGGAGGAGGAGGCGGACGAGGACGCCCGGGGTCGACGGTGCCCGGGCCCGCTTTTACTCCCGTCTCGCTGCGCCCTAGAAGCGCTACGGCGGTGGCGCCATGGCCGAGATGGAGCGTCCAGACGAGGCGGCCCGGCTCTGGCGAGACGCCGCCCTGCGCGCCAGGAAGCTGCAGAGCAACCTCCAGCAATTGGAGCTAGAGCTGGGCTCCCGAGGAGAGAGCGGCCCAGAGGCACCGCTGAAGCTGAAATCCTCGCAGCAGCAGCAGCAGCAGCAACCGCCGTCCTCGCCGCTGGAGGTATTGAACCTGAGCGGGCGCGGCCTGGATGAGTTGCCGGAGGGCTTGTGCGCCGCCGTGGGCAGCAGCCTGAGCGTCCTCTCGTTGCGGAGAAACCGACTAGCCCATCTGCCCTCGGCCGCCGCCCTTCGGCACCTGGGCCGCCTGGCCGAGCTCGACCTCAGCCACAACCGCCTGCGTTGCCTGCGCGACGACGGCCAGGCGCTGGCGCTCCTGCGCGGGCTCCGTAAACTCAATCTCAGCCACAACCAGCTCGGAGCCGAAGGGACGCTGCCCAGCGGATTGGGCGAACTGCGACAGCTGGAGGAGCTCGATCTGAGTTTCAACCGCCTTAGCCACCTGCCCGCGGAGGCCCTGGCCCACCTTCGCCAGCTCCGCACCCTGGACGTGGACCACAATCAGCTTTCTGCCTTCCCGCAAGCGCTGCTGGAGCTGGATGCCCTGGAAGAGCTGGATTGCTCAGGCAACCGGCTCGTGGGGTCTCTTCCGGAGGGCATCACTTCTCTTCGGCACCTGAAAATCCTGTGGCTCAGTGGCACTGGCTTGGCGGCCTTGCCCGAGGGCTTGTGCCAGCTGGGTACCCTTGAGAGCCTCATGCTGGACGGGAACCGCCTGAGTGTCCTGCCTGCTGGTTTTGGCAGCCTGCAGCGTCTCAAAATGCTGAACCTCTCATCCAACATACTGGTTGATTTCCCCGCAGCTGTGCTGGCCCTTCCTGGCTTGGAGGAGCTCTACCTCAGTCGCAATCAGCTTACCCTGTTGCCCGGTGGACTTTGCCAGCTCTGCCAACTACGCACGCTTTGGCTGGACAACAATCGCATCCGCTACCTGCCTGATTCCATAGTCAAGCTTCATCAGCTGGAGGAACTGGTACTTCAGGGAAATCAGATTGCCATCCTTCCAGAGGGCTTTGGCCAACTCAGCCGTGTGAGTCTCTGGAAAATCAAAGACAACCCCTTGATTCAGCCCCCCTATGAGGTCTGTATGAAGGGCATCCCTTACATAGCTGCCTACCAGAAGGAACTGGCTCACTCTCAGCCTGCCCTTAAGCCCCGTCTCAAACTAGTCCTCATGGGCCTGAAAAATGCAGGCAAAACTCTGCTTAGAAAGTGCCTCATGGAGGAAGAGGAAGAGGAGCAGGGAGAGTTATCTTTCGGTTCAGCTAACAAGAATTTTGAAAGAACCCAAAGCAGAGGGTGCTTCGTACAACCCCTGAGAGACCTGCCCCAGCCTCTGTCTCCAAAAGCACAGCCAAACCATTGTCCCATTGTGGAACAACCCGAGGCTTCCCCTTTGTCTGTCTCACCTCTGAAATGTTCTTGTTTAGGATATAACTCTACTGAGAAGTGGGATGTGTTCAGTCAGTCCCCCAAAGTTATTGGTCAGACCCAGGCAGGAGGCACTGCTGCTGAGCAGCAGGATGATACCCCATTGTCCCCATCAATTAAAATACATAGGGAAACCTGCTTGGGGAATTACCCCCTGTGGTCTCCAGGCTCACATGTAATGGGGTTGCCAGGCAGCAGCAAAGGTATTGAAGTAGCAGATTGGACAGCAGATGTAAAGAGAGGTCTAACCTTCATTGTATATGAGCTGGCAGGAGACCCAAGTTACGATGTGATCCAGCCGTTTTTCCTCTCTCCTGGAGCCCTCTACGTGTTGGTAGTAAACCTGAGCACTTACATGCCACAGTGTTTTTATCCTTCTGTGGGGCACTTCCTTCACTGGCTGGGAGCAAAGGTGCCCCATGCTGTGGTATGTATGGTGGGCACCCATGCAGATCTGTGTCCTGAACGGGAGGTGGAAGAGAAATGTTTAGACATCCACCGCCAGATTGCCTGGCAGGAGAAGTGTGACTATGAAGGCCTCCAGATTTTGGCCCGGCAGGTGGATGAAGCTCTGGGGCAGGATTTTGATTTGCGCTGCTCCAGCCCCCATGTTGCTTTCTATGGGGTATCAGACAAGAACCTACGGCGCAAGAAAGCTCAGTTCCAGTATCTGCTCAACCACCGTCCACAAATCCTCTCCCCAGTTTTGCCTATAAGCTGCTGGGATTGTGTTCACGTCTGCCGATTGCGAGAGAAGCTGCTTTCAGTGGCAGAGCACAGAGACATCTTTCCAAATTTGCACCGGGTTCTGCCAAGGTCCTGGCAAATGCTGGAGGAGCTGCACTTCCAACCCCAAGCTCAACAGCTATGGCTAAGCTGGTGGGACTCTGCTCGACTTGGCCTGCAGGCAGGGCTGACTGAGGATCGTCTCCAAAGTGCACTTTCCTACTTGCATGAGAGTGGCAAGCTGCTGTATTTTGAGGAGCACCAGACCCTGCGAGAATATGTTTTCCACAATTTGCCCAGGCTCATCGACATTCTCAATGTCTTCTGCCAGCATGATGCCTCGGTATTGCTCCAGAAACTGCTCAGCACCACCCAGATGGATCAGATGAAGGCCACACAGCTCCACCACTATGTGGAAGGATTTCTGCTCCATGGCCTTCTCCCTGCCCATGTTATTCATCTGCTTCTCAAGCCCCATATCCAAAGCAGAGAGGACTTACAGCTTCTGCTGGAATTGTTAGAAAAAATGGGACTCTGTTATGGGGTCAACAAGCCCAAATCAAAACCCTTGAATGGAGCCACAGCATGGTACAAGTTCCCCTGCTATGTGAAGAACGAGATGCCTCATGCAGAGGCATGGATCAATGGTACTAGCCTGGGTGGGCAGTCTTTTGGGGCAGAACAGCTGCAGATTGAGTACAGCTTTCCCTTTATTTTTCCCCCTGGATTGTTTGCTCGCTACAGTGTGCAGATTAACAGCCACGTAGTTCAGCGGTCAGATGGAAAATATCAGATCTATGCGTACAGGGGGAAAGTGCCGGTAGTTATAAGTTATAGGCCTGCCAAAGGCACCCAACAACCAGATACACTGTCTATTGCTAGCCATGCATCTCTACCAAATATATGGACAGCTTGGCAAGCCATAACCCCACTGGTGGAAGAACTAAATGTACTGCTTCAAGAATGGCCAGGCTTATACTATAGCGTGCATGTCCTCTGTTCCAAGTGCCTTAAAAGAGGGTCACCCCACCCACATACCTTCCCAGGTAAGAAACATTAGCTGATTGTCAAGATAACGTCTCCTTTGCATTGAGTTCAGTTTCCTGGTTGGTATATGGACACAGCCATCTTGTTTTCTTGGTAAGGTACAAAAGTGTCTCACCATTGTCTTTTTTGGGGATGTTTTTGAACTTCCAACTACAATCTACAGTCTTGGGATTTCCTGGTTATTTTCCATCTAATTAGCTCCCATTCTGTTTAGCTGTTGTGAGTTCAACCAATTCCATGCGGCCAAATTTTAGATATGCACAGTGTTTAAATAAAGATTACAGTTTGCCAATAAGTTCAGGTAGTTGCCTGTAAAAGTAGATATAGGGAGCCATTTTGCTACATATCTGCATGATTTTTTTTTATTAAAATCCCACTTGTAGAGGATCACATCTTGATAGTCTGATTGTTGCAAAAAGAAAAAAATATATCCAAAGGTAGGTTTGATGCGCTGTACAGGCAATTTATTTTATCCAGATGAGAAATTTCAGCACTTCCCAGTGTCCTAATACAGGTGGTCCCCAACTGATGAGCAGCTGAGCCCCAAATGTATGTTGTTAAGTTGTGCCCCATTTTGCAATCTTTTTTGCCATGGTTGTTTAATGAATTGCTACAGTTGTTAAGTGACTCATATGGTCATTAAGTGAATCTGGCTCTCCCCATTGACTTCACTTGTCAGAAGCTCCTCGGGAAGGTTACAAATAACAATTCCAGGACCCCGGGATGCTGCAACAATCATAGATACATGCTGGTTGTCAAACACCCAAACTTTGATCACGTAACTGTGAGGATGCTGCAATGGTCATCAGTGTGAGAGCTGATCAGAAGGCACTTTTTTCAGTGCCATTATAACTCTGAACAATCATTAAATGAAAGGTTGTAAGTTGAGGACTCCCTGTAAATTGTAAAAATGTAATAGAACAGTGGTGGCGAACCTATGGACGAGTGCCAGAGGCGGCACTCAGAGCCCTCTCTGTGGGCACACGCGCCATCGCCCCAGTCGTAGGCCTTCAGCTGGGTTTTATAAAACCATTTTGCTTTAGGCCTCTGCTGCCGTGTACAAAAAAAAAGTTCAATCAATCAGTCAATTCAACTTCTCGCGGGGAAAAAAAAGATCTTGCAAAATTGGAATTGATTGATTGAACTTTTTAGTCCACCCAGTCTACTGTTACCACTGCAGCCACGCCTACCCAATGGGCCACACCCACCCGGCACCCGACGATGCATAAGTGGGTTTTGTGTTGCAGTTTGGGCACTCGGTCTCTAAAAGGTTTGCCATCACTGTAATAGAAGTTCTTTGTATTACTTGACACAATGGCATGTAGGGATATTTTACTAGATACTTGTAGTAGTTATATATATATTGAAAAAGGTAAACATGAGTGTTCAAATTGTTATGCACTATAGCTTGGCATCTATATTACCTTATCAAATTTCAAATGGGACTACAGTATGTAATAGAATATGTGTAAATGGCTGTCTGTATCTTTTCCCAAAATAATCCTGAAATATTTTTGGTGACTTCTCTTGACGTATTGAGTATGTTGCTGTGGCAAATTATTACTTAGTAAGTAATTATTAATTTACTCTTTCCTGTTGAGTAGACACTGTAAAGAAAAGGTTCTAAACTTTATGTAGAATGTTGATATACAGAGTGCAACTTGAAGGCTGCTTTATTTAGCTCTGCAAGTATTCATTTCCATGCATTATTCACATTTTTATTGCTGCTAAATCCATATCCTTTCTTCAGGCGCTTCTGCAAATCGTTATGGTTGTGTTTGTACAAAATGTTAAGTTAAAATATGGTTGGCAAGGTTGTGCGAACGTTGCTGTTTAATGTATGATTCATTGTATTGAATCATTGTATGAACCCAGCCAATTTAATTAACTTGGGAAATAGCGATTAAGTATATCAGTTTCTCCCCCCTTTCCCCTGTGTGTGTGTGTGTGTGTGTTGCTACCCTACATCTTAGTAGGCCTGTAATGTTTGTGGCATCCAAACCTTGTGCAATGGACATCAATTGGAAATTTCTTCTGTTCCCCAACACCTCTTTTATATGTTTATGCCTAAAACAGATTCTTCATAGATTGCCACCCTGTGGCTTGTCCTGTTTCCAGTGTCATAGTGTGATTGACTCCCCACTTAATTTCTCTATGTGGAAATGGATGGGGGGTGTGTGCTTACTGCCTTCACCTCAGGCAGTCATAAGTTGTACAGGCCTGATGAATAACATGCTAAATAATTCTGAATGTTTTTGAATGCTCATAAAGCAAACAGCCTCAAAATGTTAAAAAAAATTAAAATCTTAATTGGCTTTCAAAAAGCATAACAGAAGCAAATAATATCTCATCATGACTTTCATCTAAATCGTTTGTTAAGGGGAAAATTAAAACAGTTCAGTAAAGTGGAGCCTATTTTTTCTTCTGGAAATTTGATCATATCTTGAAAGAGTTTGTTAAAAATGCTCAACATAGGGTTTGTTTATGGATTTATGATATAGCTGTCATGTATTTAGTCATTAGATTTATATCTAGCCATTCATTCAGGAATTCAAGTGTCACACATAACTCTCTCATTTTTTTCTCTGAATAGAAACCTTATGAGGTTCTCACCTCTCCTAATCCAGCATTTCCGTCACTACACCAAACTGGCTCTCATTGTGCAAAATCTATTTCTGTATACACTTCTAACACATTGCATAGCTTTCCTAAGCCAATATAAATAGCCAATGGTTTTGATGTTTATTTATTTAACAGGATTTTTGTATTTCTCTAGTCTCTGTCTATTGGCAATTTGCATTAAAAGCTCCCTACCCATAAACTAAAAGCCAACTGGTGGCTCCCCAAGAGCCAGACATAATTATTTAAAGTGCATTGTAGCACAAGATAAAGTGCACTGGATATACCTATGGGGTAGTGTCTTTGACAGTGTGGGGACTACCTCAGAGAAAGCTTGCTTTCAGATGTATCCTCTTCTTTCCTGTCATGGGGATGAAATCTTAAAACAGTCCTGTATATCCCTATTACATAATATATATAATTTATAGGCAGGAGTATAGATTTGCAGTTAGTAAGGGGCAGTTTGCAGATCGTTCTCATCTAGGCACGTGGTTCAGCATGGAACCTTTCTGCTCAAGCATACTAATTTCCATTCCATGACTACCAAAAGTCATCATTGGATTTGGGTTTAGCATATACATTCCTTCATGCTTTAGTTCATCAGAGTAGAAAGCCACAGCGAAAGCTAAGCTAAGGCAAATTCTGGAATCATTTTCTGGTTGAGGCTGGAGGTGGTATGCATTATACGTTCAAATAGCACGCCAGTGGCTAATACTTGCTATCAACACTTTTGGGGAGAAAAACTAATATGTATGTGCAAATGTATAAATAATACTCTATATCATCTATAGTGCCATTGCCGTATGCTAGGCAGCATCAGCCACAATATTAAAGCTCTTTGCCCTGTCCAATCAGCTGATGTCACACACTTTGCAGCTCTCAGCTTTGTCCAAGGTTACATTATCTTGTAGGCCTTAAAGGGAGCCACTGGGGCAGTGAATTATCTCTCTTTCTAGCTTCACTGCTTTCAGAATCTGAGAAATGATTGTGAAGACCTCTGAACATAAATTAAGTAAGGCCGTGAGTCATCGTTCTGAAGAATTGCTAAATGCTATGTCTACCCCAGCTTTTAATTGTATGAGTAGGAGAGACAATCGACCTTCCCTTCCTTCCCCCATACCCGAGACATGACACGGTGTGGTAATTACTCTAAATTTTCAGTACAGTATGACACAACTGGTTTTCTGATAATGGGTTGTCTTGAATTTATCACTTTTACATCAGGATTGGTATTTTTTTTATTCTGTAATGGAGACTTGAGTCAGAACATCAAAAGGGTATTTTTGGGAAATAGAACATATGCTGGCAAAAAGTCAAGACAAACATCTGATCTTAATAAGCAATGTGTTTAGAAGGGCTTTCTTTTTAGGCCATTCAAGTACTTGAGAATGTGTTTCATTAAGATGGAGAAGAAAAGAATTGAGCAGATTTTACTTTGTTCAAATGGTATATTTTTGACTTGCTAGAAATTTCCTTATACAGTGGTATGATAAAAATATTTTAACATTGCTATTCTTGTATGTGCTTTTGGTAAATAACTCTGAGGGACACAGTGATAATTTAAAATTTGCTTTTGGTAATCTTTGATTTTTTTCTTTTATTGTAGACAACGCCTGGATACCAAAACTGTCTGGCTCTATAAATGTGGATAATTTTTCATGAGAATATATCCCATTTAATATTTCACATTTCTTTCTTTGGTAGCTGTGTAAACTAGAACATAGGGCTTATTCATAGTAAGATGTATCAGTTCTCATTCTCAGTTGTGTTTGCAAAAAGTGAGATTAAGAACTTCCTAATATGTTGATAGCACTCTTAGAATTTTGTTTATTTTCAATTTAAAATGGGATTACCTAATGGAACTACAGGTATATATAAATAGTGATTGTTCAAGAACAATTGAGAGAACAGTCATTGTATGATGGACTGTACATTTATCTTAGGGCCCTATTTGTTCTTTATTTATCCATCTAAGTTCCCAAGAGATTTATTGCCAGAATGAGCCTTCTCATTGAAAAGCAACAGAGCTTACTGTTCTTGCCACTCATGGGTAAAGGTGGAATACGGAATATATACTTCTCGGTTTTGACATGGCCCAATGGAGGGGTGTGTGTGTGTGTGTGTGTGTGTGTGTGTACATGTATACGTATTACATTTATATGCCGCCCATCTCAGTATCCAAAGATATGGTTAGTTTTTCATTGAATAGGCCAGTGGTGGCGAACCTATGGCACGAGTGCCAGAAGCGGCACTCAGAGCCCTCTCTGTGGACACATGCGCCATCACCCCGGTCCTAGGCCTTCAACTGGGTTTTATAAAACCTTTTTGCTTTAGGCCTCCGCCGCTGTGTGCAAAAAAAAAAAGGTTCAATCAATCAGTC